AAATAATAAATTAATTCAATATAAAAAAAAATATCAAAAAAATATAAAATCATATAAAAATATATATCATATGATACAAGTTTAGAATAAATCTTTAGGACATTTCAATTCCTTTACAATTTTTTCTTACAAAGAATTCCGCTCTATATAAATAATATTGCCAAGACGATTTAAAATATTTAAATATTTCCTCTTTGGTTTCTTTATTGTTCGTTCATTATTTCTATTATACTTATATCTAGAGTCCAGAACTTTTATCGGAACAGAAAACGAACATTATGTGCCAATTTCGATAGAAACTATATAGCTCTTCTTCATAAATATTAATTTTAATATGTGTAATTATTGTTTCCATTGACTATTGTCAGCTTAACCAGATTTTCCACACGGTCTTCCAATCGTCATGTAAGCAGCTATAATTATTCTATAAATAATTTATCAAAAACGGTTTGAAAAGATGAAATCATATGCACAACTAGATGTATTGCAATTTATTCTGATAAGGGCTCGAACAAGTAGCCGAAACATATTAAGAATTTGAATTTATGAAATTAGTTTTGAATAACAATTTTATGTAATTATCATTAGAATATATAAATTAATTTACACAAGTCCTGCGGTTGGCTCTTCATTACTCTGTTAATTTATATTACTACTATAATTATAATTGTTTCAATAATTAAATTATGATGTTTATGAAGGCTGCGTTCGGAAACATCGCTCGGATGACATTAAACAAAGACAGATGATGAATCCGAGGCATCCGAATGCAACCGAAGAAAAAATACTTATATTCTTTAACACAATCGAAATTTCGGTTTTTGATTTTGGCCGAAATTTAATTATTGTTTCAATAACTTATGATATTTATAAAGAAAAAGTGTATGATATATGGGCATGTCTATACATATGGCTTTTATGAGATTCCTATTTTTTAATTTTTTTTTTATTTTAATTGAATTTCAAATGAAATTGATATGTAGTTAAGTATTTCGGTTCAGTTTCGGCAAAAGTTTCGGTTGGACTCTACCTATATTACATGCTTAATTAAATGTATAATAAATAATTAATCTTTATAAAAATAGCTTTTT